AAGAGAGAAACCACATGGCCACTTCTCACAACAGAAAGGTGTATTGATGTACAGGGGTCTTCTCTCTCCGTTTTCACATCTGTACATTTTCCTTCTGGACAGAGCCTATTCCAACAAATAAATGCTGAAAATACCAGAGTGGTATTTCTAGTTCAGCAAAGGGGCTTGTGCGTGCCATGCAACATGTGCTGACTTGTTGAAAGCCTGCACCATTATTGTTACAAAATGGTACATACACAAACCTGAACTAGAAGCAACATAGAGTGCAGGAAATATGTCCACTGCTCTCAGCAGTACCTTGCAAGCTGATGTAGGGGATCGAAACGCTTACAGAGAAGGAAACAAACTAAGAAAACTGCCACTTTCACTGTACAAATTCAATGCAATCCCTATAAGGATACCCATGACATTCTTCAAAGAAATGGAGCAAACACTCCTGAAATTTATATGGAACAATAAGCCCCCACGAATAGCTAAAGCAATTCTTGGGAAAAAGAAAATGGGAGGAATCAACCTCCCTAACTTCAAACTCTACTACAAGGCAGTAATAATTAAAACAGCATGGTACTGGAACAAAAGCAGAGCTGCAGACCAATGGAACAGAGTTGAATATACTGACATTTCCTCCCAAACATATAATCATCTAATTTTTGATAAGGGGGCAAGAAAAGTGAAATGGAGCAGGGAAAGCCTCTTCAACAAACTGTGCTGGCAAAATTGGACGACTACATGCAAAAAAGTGGGCTCAGATCTCTGCCTAACACCATGCACAAAAGTAAGATCAAAATGGATTTATGACCTCAACATCAGACCAGAATCCATAATGTTTATTGAAGACAAAGTCGGCAAAACTCTCCATGATATTGAAGCTAATGGTATCTTCAAAGATATCATGCCACTGGCCGAGCAAGTGAAAACAGAGATAGACAAATGGGACTATCTTAAACTAAGAAGCTTCTGCACCTCAAAAGAAACATTGACCAAAATACAAAGACAGCCTACAGAATGGGAAAGGATATTCACCAAGTACACATCCGACAAGGGGTTGATATCAAGGATATACAAGGTACTGGTTAAACTCCACAAGAAGAAATCACCCAACCCCATCAAAAAATGGGGTGAGGAAATGAACAGAAACTTTCGCAAAGAAGAAATTCGAATGGCAAAAAGGCACATGAGAAAATGCTCTACATCACTAATCATCAGAGAGATGCAGATCAAAACCACAATGAGATATCATTTCACACCACAGAGACTGGCCCACATCCACAAGAACAAAAGCAACCGGTGCTGGCGCGGATGTGGCGAGAAAGGGACCCTCCTTCACTGCTGGTGGGAATGCCAGCTGGTCCAACCCTTTTGGAAAACAGTTGGACGACTCTCAAAAAATTAGAATTTGATCTGCCATTTGACCCAGCTATAGCACTCCTGGGAATATATCCCAGAGAGGCAAAAAGGTATAGTCGAAGTGACATCTGCAATTGTTTGTTCATTGCAGCACTCTTTACAATAGCCAGAATCTGGAAAAAACCTGAGTGCCCGAGAACAGATGACTGGTTAAAGAAACTTTGGTACATTTACACAATGGAGTACTATGTAGCTGTTAGAAAAGATGAAGTTATGAAATTTACATACAAGTGGTACTACATGGAAAGTATCATGTTAAGCGAAATGAGTCAGAAAGAGCGGGATAGACACAGAAAGATTGCATTCATCTGGGGAACATAAAGCAACAAAAAGGGAGAGTAACACCCAGGAATGGCTGAGATTAGTACCAGGAATTTTGCTCCATGAATGGAAGGCCAGCCACAGGCTCTAGGTGAAAAGGAAGCTCAGATAGAGAAGAGAGTACCAAATGAAGGGTGTTGTGAGGGTCCTCCCAGGGTGGGAGAAGCATGCTAAAAGTAGTCGATAGACCAAACATGATTGCCACTCAAAGCCTCTCTTGCAAAACACAGTACCCAAAAGAAGAGAGAGAGAACAAGGGGGAATACCCTGCCACAGAGGCAGGATGGGACGGGGGGGGGATGGGGGGGGGGGGGATGCTGGGACCCATGGGGATGGATGACGGGCACTGGTGGAGGGATGGGCACTTGATCATTGTATAACTGAAACCCAAGCACAAAATTTGTAAGCCTATAACTGTACCTCATGGTTTTTCACTAATAAAAAAAGAAAAAAAAAAAAAGAAAACTGCCACTCCAAGCCAAGGGTGTAGCAGCTAAGTGGCACCTGTTTTCACCAGGCCAAACGAAATCATCCCCATCCCTAACGGACATCTGAATGAATGCAGGTGCTATAGGGCACATCTCTGAGAACTCTGGGACTGTCACTGTCACTGTCCTCCCGTTGTTCATCGATTTGCTCGAGCAGACCCAGTAACGTCTCCATTTTGAGATTTGTTACTGTATTTGACATATAGAATACGTCACAGGTAGCTTGCCAGGCTTTTGCCTGAGGGCGAGATACTCTTGGTAGCTTGCTGGCTCTCTGAGAGGGGCGGAGGAATCAAATCCGGCTCAGCCGGGCAGGCTGCACGCAAGGCAAATGCCCTACCGCTATGCTATCGCTCAAGCCCAACTCAGGGACATAGCACTAAAATTTGACTACAAATTTCAAGCAGCAACAGATTCCCAGCAGGATTACAGGCCTGTTCCATCCCAAAGCTACAGGCACTGACTTCAGCATGAACTCATTATGGTAGTTCAAGTGCAAGCCATTGCATTTAGATCTTTGCCCCTAGATCTCATGCAGCACAGACCACAGTAATGAATCAGGAACTTGGCCATACCTCAGTATGGACAGAAAATCCAAACAAGGATTTAAAATATCCTAACTTTCTGAACTCCTAGAGGAAGATTTCAAAGCACATTCCTATCACACTTCTAGTAAGCAGAAGAAATCTGTTGGATTATAGTTCCAAGCATTTTAGGCACAATGTTGAGTTGTCTTTTCTCCTCCCACATAGAGCTTATGTTATTTGAGTTATACCTACTATAGTGCTCCTGGGGGCACACCCAGTTCCACCAGGGCACTCCCAGTCCTTCATGTTTATCTTTAACCTCTCCTTCGTGTCTTCTTTCCCAATCTGTTAGTCACAAATATCTCCAAATCAGACATGGTAACTTGTAAAGTCAAACTTGATGGCATTGGATTTTGTATATGTAAGTGAAATATTTGCTTCTCTTTCCTTTATTCCCCTTTGAATCTTTATTTTAGAGCAATGTCCTTTTTGTATCAACACAGGAAGATGGTCAAGGCGAGGCTTTTGTTATGTGGGAGTTAATTAATTCTAAAATATTAACTCCTGGGCATCCATTGCATTTACTTGACTTAGGCCTTAGTTGCCCTTAGATTGACCTTAGTTCCTTATACCCCAATAAAGTTTTTTTCAGTTACTTCTTTTTGGGTCATGATAGAGCTTGCTCCATAACCGTGCTCTTAGCCTGTTTTTATTGCCCTTAGACTGTCCCCTGTTAAACCCAGGCTAGCTTACTGGTTGCCCCAGGTACATCCAAGGCCCTCAGTGGGACCCATCTTTTGTGATGTTAGGATCTAAGGCCAACCTAAGGGCAACCGAAGCTTAAGTTAACTAAATATGAAGGATGTACAGGAGTCCTTTAATATATTTTAGAGTCAATTAACTCCCATATTACAAAAGCATAGCATAACTGTCTTCAGCGACTTCTTATCAGGACATCTTTTATGACATCTTATCATTTCATTCCTACTTTGGGCAAACTTGCAGGCTATCGAATGTAGCCTGCCCACAGGGCAGAGTCTGGCAAACTCCCCTTGGCGTACCAAATATGCCAAATACCAGTAACAATGATGGGTCTCATTCTCCTAAAGAGCCTTGAATATAATCTCAGGGTTAGGATGAAAGAGACGTTACTGGGGCCTGCTCGAGGCAATCGACGAACAACAGGATGATGAAATGAAATGATGAAAAAACTGTCTTCATGTACCTATACAAAAAGGACATTGCTGTATTTTTCACTATAGCCCATCACTGTCTTCACACCTGGAGGATTTTGTTTGATAAATCTGCAGTAAATCTTATGGACACTCTTTTATATATAATTTCTTTCTTTGATCTTGCAGCTCTCAGTATTCTATTTCTGTGGTTTTTGTCATTCTGATTAGTATGTGTTTGGAGTATTTTTTGTTTGGATTTCTTCTAGCTGGTGTCCTTAGTCTTTTGGATGTGGGTGCATGTACTCTTTACCTCTGTGAACTTCTCAGCAAGGATGTCTTTGACTGTTGCTTCTTCATCAGGGTTGCCTTTTTTGGCACTCTGGATCCCCAGTGATTCTTACATTATTCCTCTTTAATTCATCCTGAAGTTCTCGTCTTCTATTTGTCTATCTGAGGCTTTTACCCCTTCTTCTGCTGTTGCCTGGAGATTTTCTGCACCTCATCTTGGAGCTCACTGATTCTGTCCCCACCAGCTGTTACTCTGCTGCTGAGGATTCCATTGAGTTTTTCATTTCACTTACCAAGATTTTCAGTTCTGTTATTTCAGTTCTGTTGATTACTGGTTGAGTTTTCCGGGCTACCACCTCACTTACTAAGTGTGGTGGGATTGTGGCAACTTGGAGTTGTTTCTTGTGATTTTCTATGTGACTATGTGACTGAAGTTAGATATCTTTGCTTATGGTGAGCTATGGAGAGGTGAAGAAATGTGGCTGTGGAGTATAGTGTAGACAAGGCTAATCCTGACCTGGAGAGGGGGGCAAGATGGTGATTCTGAGTACCAAGTCAGTCCCTGTTGCTGACTGCCACTGTGCTAGCCTTGGCGTCCATCTGGGACTGGGTGGGGTCAAGCCACAATCTTTGGTTTTTAAAGCCATCATTGGTGAGATTTACAAATAGCTTTAGATGAGCCCAGCATGGCTCAAGGGAAGTACATTGCAGTTCCTTGGGAAGTGTCTTCTCTGACTCTCTCTCTTCCTGCGGAATACCATACTTATTAATCTCATTTTACTTTTGTCTTCCAGCTGAAACTAAGATCTGCTTCAAATATTACCATGGAGTAAGTGGAGCTCTGCGAGCTACCACCTCCAGTGTCACAGTCAAAAACTCTGCAGCCCCTGTAAGTATTATTTCTTCCTCTTGTCAGACTTGCTTCTAGTATTTCTTAACTTTATTATTTTTATGTTGTGTGAACATACAAAAATAAACTGATTATGAGTTGTATAGTGAAGAAAAATTAGATCTGAGAACTGACCTTTCATATCCTTAAAATTATTTATAATTTTATCTCATCCTCCTTTTGATTTAGGCACCAGATATTGTTATTACAATACTATTAATAGCATGGATTCAGGAATGTAGTGTTCCAGCTCCACACCCACCACTGGTGTTGGCATCCCTCTATCACTCCACACATGCCTCAAGGTTCATTCTCAACCACTACCCTAACCCTGTGACAAGCAGATTAATTTTAAAACTGGAATGATAATTTGGGTCACATATTTATAATAGTGTTAACGTTTGTGGTTTTAACATAATTGTGAGTTTCCAAAGAAAAGGTGCAGTGGGTGCAAAGGGGACTCGAGTGTTCTGTGCCTGAGAGAGCCACCTCCCCAGGCAGGACAATGGCAGAAGCAATGGAGGGTGGAACGGAGAAATAGGACCCGGGCCCTGGACTGATCTGCTGTCGGTTTATTTCTCTCTCCTCCCTGGTGTAGTAAAATCTCTCCCCTTTATGGTGCAGGCGCAGTTGTTGTTTTGGTCGTAGTTCCGGTCAGCACAGTTCCATCATCCTAGTCTCCTCGTAGACAAAAAAGTCCTCTACTTCATTGTATCTTCTTCCTAGTCTCGTCGTAGTCTTGTAGTTCTCTGCTTCCAGTCATCGTTGTCGTCTGGTTCTCCCTCTAGTTCCAAAGTCCCCAAAGTCTCCATTCTCTTCCTGTAGTCTCCAATGTCTAGTCTTTGACCTTGTAGTCTTCAACATCTAGTCCTCAAAAACCTCGAAGTCCCAAAGTCATCATTCTCCTCCTCTAATCTTCAACATCTAGTCCTCTCTTACCCCTTACAGCATAGTAGTATAGAAATCATGAAGGGTGGGGATACACAAAGGTGGGGTTGAACATTATCATAACAGCAAACAGATGTAAAGCCACTCCATTAGGAGATTAACTCAAGAACAAAATCTCATCTGCGGGTTCAGCACTCCAGATTACTAGGAGATCTGCTCAAGGGCGGGATTCCATCCAGGGTGTATTGTTTTCGCCTTCCCTCAGCTAGTAATTCATTTAAACATTTCATTTCATTTCATTTCATCATCCTGTTATTCGTCGATTGGCTCGAGCAGGCCCCAGTAACGTCTCTTTCATCCTAGCCCTGAGATTATATTCAAGGCTCTTTAGGAGAATGAGACCCATCATTGTTACTGGTATTTGGCATATTTGGTGCGCCACGGGGAGTTTGCCAGACTCTGCCCTGTGGGCAGGCTATATTCGATAGCCTGCAAGTTTGTCCAGAGTAGGAATGAGATAATGAGATATCATAAAAAGATGTTTTGATAAGATGTCTTCGGCTGCCGGAGCCCTGGTCGGGGTGGGGAGGAAAGCTCAACCCGCTCCCTTCCAAGGGACTCCGGCGAGGAACAGCCAGGCGCAGGGGCAGGAGACTGACTGCACTGGTCTCGTCCGGGAGCTGCATTTTGTAGTCTCTGAGTCTTGGCCGTTGATGGGATTACACGGCGCCAGGGGGCCAGGTGGTGGGTGTGACCCCCGCCTACTGGAATTTGGAGGATCTGGGTGGAGGATGCTCGACTCCAATTCGAGTAGGCTCGGAGATCTTGGCCCCGGAACCCGCGTGGCTTTGTCCCTCTGCCAGTACCTTCATGTGAGCGGAGAGTGGTCTCAGCATGGTGGTGGCTGGTCCTGGAGGTCTTCGGCTGCTGGAGCCCTGGTTGGGGTGGGGAGGAAAGCTCAACCCACTCCCTTCCAAGGGACTCCGGCGAGGAACAGCCAGGCGCAGGGGCAGGAGACTTAAACAATTTAAACAATCACAGTAAATTTACTTCTTATAATATTTCTAGTCATTTTATATGAACACAGTAAGAGATATATTAAGTGTAAAGGTTTGCTTTTCCTGGGGACATCTCACTATATATTCCAGACTACAGATTAGTCTTTCCTAACCCCAGCAGGGTCCTTATTCAGTTACGTCTTTTGGGTCATGACAGAGTTTATCCATGACTGTGCTCTTAACTTATAGTTAAGTATTATGGCAGTTGGCCTGGCCCATTTCAATGCCAGGGTAGCTCACAGCTTGGCCTGGGTCCATCCAGTCCCTTGTTGAGACCCTGCTCTTAGAATGCTAGGAACTAAGGGCAACTGAGGCATAAGTCAAGTAAATATGGTTTCCCAGAAGTAAATATTATGTTGGAGTCAATTAACTCCCATGTTACAAAGCATGGCATCAACTGTCTTCCTGTATCTATACAAAAAGGCCATTGCTAAATAAACCATGAAAATGACATAAAGGAAAGAGAAAAGCAATATAGGACCACTAGTGCTTAATGGAATTGGGTGTGCCTCAGGGGCACTGTCCTGGGAGCAACCCAGAAAACTTTAAACTCCCTGTGGATGGAGTAAGGACAACCCAATGTTATCAAACACATAATTACTTGAGCTCACCACCAACAAGGTTTCTAATACTCTAAACAGATGTCCTTATGTTAAACCAATTTACCTCATTATTCCCTCACTCTACCCTCTGATCAGTTGGCAATCTGAGTCCTGTAATCCAGGCCAAAAGTTAGCATCATTTGACACCTTCCATTTTCTTTCCTTGCTTCTTTATATACTCAGATGAATGAGATCATCTGGTATTTGTCCTTTTAACTCTGAATTTACCGGATAAAACTGTGTGGGTGGTCGTGCGAGAGCACCAGCGATCCTGAGGGAAACTTCAGAGGGAACCAGATGGTTCGATTAGTCTTTTGCCCCTATACCCAGGTCGGACGACCGATTTGCACATCAGGACCGCTACAGACCTCCACCAGAGTTTCCTCTGGCTTCGCCCTGCCCAGGCATAGCCATAGGGGCTGGAGCGATAGCACAGCGGTAGGGCGTTTGCCTTGCATGCAGCCAACATGGCTGACCCGAGTTTGATTCCTCCGCCCCTCTCGGAGAGCCCGGCAAGCTACCGAGAGTATCTCGCCTGCACGGCAGAGCCTGGCAAGCTCCCCGTGACGTATTCGATATGCCAGACACAGTAACAACAAAGTCCCCAATGGAGACGTTACTGGGCCCGCTCGAGCAAATCGATGAACAACGGGAGGGCCTTTACCTTTTACCTTTTAACTCTGAATTACTTTAATAGAACACACTCCAGTTCTATCCAATGTACAGTGAACTCTATAGTTTTATCTTTTCTTATGACTTTATAATATTCCATTCTATATATACAACTCAGCGTTTCTATCTGTTCATCTGTATTTTGGATATCTGAGTTGTTTCTATATCCTGGCTAATATTTTAAGTGTATGTGAATATAGTTATGCATGTATTTAAATATTTAAATTTAATTAAGGAACTGTGATTTGAAAAGTTATCGATAGTTGAGTATTAGTCCTAGCATTATTTCCATTACCAGTGTCAGTTTCCTTCCACCAGTCCTCCTGTGCAGCTTCCTTTCCACCTGCCTTTAAAATTTGGTGGTTATAGTTTGGATCTCATGTTTTCAGTGTTGTTGAGTCTGTGCTTTGGGTTTATAGCTATACTACTCCCCTACATAGGTGTACCTGTGACCCCAATACTTCCCTTTCTTGGCTTCTTTCTTCCGTCAACTGATCTATTTCTCAACTGATCTATTTCCTTCTCTGTCTTTCTCTTAATCATACCCTTGTGTTAGGGTGATCTAGGCATCCACCCTTTACTATAAGGTAAGGTAAGGTAAAGGCCCTCCCGTTGATCGTCGATTTGCTCGAGCGGGCCCAGTAACATCTCCATTGGAGACTTTGTTGTTACTGTGTCTGGCTATCGATAATTTTTTTTATTATTGATAATGAAGAGCATATGATGTCTCTATTGTGGCCATGTGATTTTGGATTTCTGGTATTTTAGTAATTAAGTCCAGAGGGATTTCTGCCAAAAGCCACTGCATTCCGAGATTGGTTTGTGTGCCTCTGGGATCATGGGTGTTCAGGAGGAGAGGAGTCGTTTGTGAGCAGCAACACAGGGTCTTGTGCAGACAGGGGGAAGAGCTGGTTCTGCCCCACCCCCATCCCCAGAGGCCCCGCACACCCCATCACTACAAGCCCGTACCTCTCTTTCCCTTAGGCTCTGAAAGATGGTGGTCACCATGCTGCCGCAGAGGGGGAAAAGGTGGAGGGATAAACACCCTTCCCCTCCCAGGGTAGCACGGGGCCATACCTTAGTTCACAGCCAGAAGCATTTCTGCCAAAAGCTTCTGGGTTCTGAGATTGCTTTGTGTGCCCCTGGGATCATGGCCATTCAGGAGCGGGGGAGCTGTTCCTGGGCAGCAACACGGGGTCTCGTCTGGGTGGGGGGAAGGAGAGACGCGGATTTTTTCACATAACTTTATGGTCTTATATCTTGCTTGATGCTAAACCTTATTCCATACACCACTCAAAGATTTTCTCTGAAGAACATTTAAGCATTCCTGAGATTTACTCTACACTTAGGTATCAGGGCAGACATATGGAGGTTTTCACAGAAGGTCCACTCCAATGGCTAGGTACGGAAAGATGATCTGCTTCCCTAAGAAGATCTGAGCTAAACTTATGAGGCTCATCATGCCCAGGCAATACTCAGTCTGATATAAGGCAGGTTGATGGTAATATCCAATTACAATTCCTGCAGCATTGAACATACTCTGAGGTAGTAGAAAGAGAAAGAATAGACCCATACAAACTGCAAATAGGACTCTCATGTATAAACCATCAGGTCATCCATTTGCTTTTTCCTATTCAGTACAAATCTTCTAAAAAGTGAACACTAAATGGTTTGGCATTTTCAAATTTAATTTTCTTGGGTAATTTCCCATGACAATTAAGATATAAGCTGATGCCATAATTCCACAAATAAATCATAGCACATAAAACTTCCTCTGTGTGCGATATGTCTTCTATTTAAGCAGAATTACATGGGTACTCTCAATCATTAATGGCAATAGACATATAATTCCACCAACTAACTTCAGTACCCCTAAGTTATTTAATCTGTTATATATCATTCCACTCTAAGCACAAACCTCTCTCAGTTAAGCTTTAACATAGCGATATTTTTCAAATCACCATGAAAATTTGTTAAATAAAAGTATTTTATTATGGTAATATAGGCAAATCTGCCTTTGAATGTTTATTCAGAATTGTTTTTCATGAAACTTTTCTCATCAGAGAATAGAAGATTATATAAAATTATAAATACACTAAAACAGATGTGTATGTAAATAATGGTGTAACATTTCAGCACTCTGATTTGCAAACACCTAGAAGGCTGCAGAAAACCCAATATAACAATGTGTTCTGAAGTTTCCCAGGTAGACAATTAAATGAGAAAGATGTCGATGTAAACAATAGTTTCTGCATTGTTTTGTTTATTTTGTTGTGTTTGAGATAGCATGATTACAATATATACACATGTATATTCTTTGCAGCTCTACGGATAGAAGCAACACAAATAACCAATGAGAGATAAAGCGGTAAAGATATTTTGATGCATATGTGTACACCCCCTATTTAGGATGACTCGAGTGAACAACTTGTAGATGACAGACAATAGGCAGATCGGGCGATAGTTGCCAATGTCATGGATGTCTCCCTTCTTGAACAGTAGTACGGTCCTGCTGGTTTTCCATTGGGACGGAACCTTGCATTCAGACAGGTAGCGAGTGAAGAGCCGAGCCAGTGTATTGATGAGTACTGACGGCAGGTTCTTCAGATGTTCAGGTCTGACCTTGTCTGGGCCGGGTGCTGTTTGTTTCTTTACCGATGAAATAGCGTGTTGGATTTCGAAAGGGAGAACGTTGGGAACGACATATCCATCCTGTGGAATTTGGTATGTCGGCAAGTGGACATGGCTATCGAAGAGATTTGAGTAGAAGTCATGGATAATCTTCTCCATTGCCGTTCTGGAGGATGTGATGGATCCATCAGGACGTCGGAGGGCAGTCATCTTGGTCTTGTAGTTGGCGAAGGACAGGCGGGCATTACGAATACTTTTCCTGGCTTCTGCCACATCTACCAGTACTTCTGCTCTTCTCTCTTTGAGGTCTTCCTTGATCGCATCTCTGCACTGCTTTGCGAGCTCGGACGTTAGCTTGTGGTTGCCTGAGGCATGCGCCAAACCACGCTGGCAAATTAGCTCAAGAGTTTTCGAAGATAGGCGATTTTTTGTGGTTATCTCTTTCTTGGTGTTCCTCGCACATTCATGGAGGTGCTGAACTCGAGTCATCCTAAATAGGATTGGCAGAACACTAGATGAAGAACAACCATGCGAGCAAGCAGGGTTCCTCAAAGGATTCAGCACCATCGACCATATCCACACGATAACCAAGCTCATTGAGGTTTCTCGGGAGTTCAAGATGCCGCTCTGTTTAACGTTCATTGATTTAAAGAAGGCCTTTGATTCTGTTGAGACGGAAGCGGTCATTGAAGCCCTAGCCAATCAGGGCATTCAAGCCCAATACATCAGGATCCTCCGTGAGCTGTATTGCGGATTCACTACCAGGATCTCACCATTCTACAAAGAAGTGATCGTTGATGTCAAGAGAGGGGTGCGGCAGGGTGATACCATTTCACTGAAACTCTTCAGTGCCACCCTCGAGAACATCATGAGACGACTGGAATGGGAAGGAATGGGAGTGAAGATAGATGGTCGGCAACTACACCACCTCCGCTTTGCTGATGACATTGTTTTAATAACACCAAACATCAGCCAAGCGGCACAAATGCTGGCCGACTTTGACCGTGAGTGTGGAAAGGTAGGACTACAGCTGAATCTTACGAAGACAATGTTTATGAGAAACAGCCTTGTTCCTGACGCCCCATTCGCTCTCAATGGAACGACCATCTCCGAATGCAACAGCTATGTGTACCTAGGTCGAGAAGTCAACATGACAAATGACCTGGCACCCGAGCTGCGCAGGAGGAAGAGAGCGGCTTGGAACGCCTTCAAGAACATCGAAGAAATAGCTAAGAGGACAAAGAACCTCCGGCTCCAGGCACATCTCTTTGATTCCACTGTTCTTCCTTCATTAACATATGCCTCAGAGACCTGGGCCCTAGGCAAACAAGATGAGAACGCCATTCAGGTCTCCCAAAGAAGAATAGAAAGAGCTATGCTTGGAATATCACGTTTCACTCAAATGAGAGAAAGAATCCGGAGTTCTGACATCCGTCGATCAAGAATCAGGGACGCTGTCTCATTTGCCAAGGTGTCGAAAATCAGATGGGCTGGTCACGTAATGAGATTTAAAGACGACCGCTGGACTAGAGCTGTTACTGACTGGATTCCACGGGATGTCAAAAGACCGCGTGGCCGCCCACCTTCCAGATGGTCAGACTTCTTCGTCAAGATCATGAACTATCGGTTTGAGGCCCTTCATGTTCCCGGAGCGAACAGTTGCCATTGGGCTACACTAGCACGCGACAGGGACAAATGGAGACATTACTGGCGCCCGCTCGAGCAAATCGATAACTAACGGGAAGTGATTAAGTGATTAAGTGTACACCCCCACACACAAATGCACATGCAACACACACAATCATGCACAATGAAATACTTCTCAGAACAACTTTCTAATGCCATGTTCCTACTCTTCTCTAAAAGAATATCTTAGGAGTTCCTTGGTAATAATGCAGATCAGAAGAAAGAAACAGTAGGTGAACCCTATACTTTGCCAGATAGAAAGACATAATTATATCAGGAAATATCTGTTGGCCTATCATTCTACTTTGATAAAACTTTTTTTTTGTGAATTTAAATGTGAAAAAATATTTGTTAAATTGATTTTAACCTCTCTATATTATGGTAATTATACTTGTTATTTCTATGACTCTGAAAAGTTCCCCTCTCCCCCTCCTCCAATTCTTACTAGCAGATCCTCTGTTAATGTAAATTGTTTTAATCAGTAGTAGCCTAATGAAATTACAGCACTGGGGCCTCCATTTATTTAGCTAGATTTGATTAAGGATGTTGGTTTTGGAGTGTAAACATCTACTTAAGTGCTTGTTTTGTTTGTCTCTCATTGTCTCCTCACAGATTTTTAAGAGCATTTGTTCTGATGAAGGTGTTCAAGGGCAAGGAAGTCGCAGGCTGATTAGCTTTTCTCTCTCAGGTATGTTTGACTCCCATTAAAGTGTTATGAAGAGAGTAAAAATGCCAAATAAGTGTCAGAAAACTTACTTCAATTTGATTTTTACCTACCGGTTACTCCAACTTTCTGTGCTTAGTTTAATCTGAGAATAAGAAGTAAAATTTACAAAATAAAAGTAAAAACAATATGTGCCATTTCCCTTGACTTCGGAAAGATAGTAGAGGATTCAATAAGTAATAGTTGTGAAGCAGCAATAAGAAGAAAAGCAACTATTCTAATTTTATTCATTGCTAAATAGTAGTAATTAAGAATGTATTAAGAAAATGTAGGGGAAAGGTTAAAAAGCGAGAAGCAGATCAGTAGTCAAATAAAATCTCAAAATAATGTGAAGTTGTTGAAGCAGGTAAAAATAAGTGCTCAAAAATACATTTGTGGGAAACCAATAGCATCCAAATAAAGTGTTCAGATTATTTATGTTTAGGGAATATTTGAGTAATTTAGTTACTTTTAGCATTAATAATGTAACATATTTCTGTAATAAGCTAACAATGAGGAAAACTGGTTGAAGACTGCGTGGATAATTTTTGTACTTTCTTTGCAACCCTTTTTGATAAATTTTAAATACTTAAAAATTTAAATATATATTAAAACTTAGTTTCTCTGAGTAAAATACAAATTTCAGAAGCCTGTATATTTCGTTCCTCCCTCAGTGTTCTTTGTGGACGCACAGTAGTCTAAAGTTCTAGGACTTCAATTTAGAGTATGGAAATTTTTCACTTCAGTTAGAGATTTGAGGTTGTAGAAATGAAGCATGAGTATCCTTGGCAGATGGATCTTTTCATGTTTTAGTGAGATAATTGTGTATCTGAAGATCCACTGGTAACTGACCATCAAAGTTCCAGTATACAAAGTAATGTATGTAAAATGTCTACTGCTTTTCCATTATACATTTGATGATCAGTGGAATTAGAAAATTAATACACATCATCATTCATATTAGCAAACCAAGTTAAAATTGTTACATATACATCTAACAGAATAGTTATAAGATATATTTGAGGAAATCTATAAAAAATTGATGGATAAAATCAAAGAACTAAAAACTGAAAAGAGAAAAAAACAAAAAAACTGAAAAGACGTTATAATGTAGAAAATTTGCCTATTCAATGATATGGAAATTATAGGATATCAGCATGCAAAAAAATGTTAACCTAGACACAGGCCTTACAACTGTTGTGAAAATTCAAAATGGATCATATTAATTGACAGGAAGATTCATCTATAAATTTGGTCTATAAAATCAATACAGTACAAATAAGAGCTCTTGAAAATTATTTTATGAGTACAGACAAACTCATTCTAAAATTAATATACCATAGTAGTCACAAGAATATAAGAGGAAAAGATCAGTGTTGGAAGTATAGAATTACTCAACTTCAAGACTTTTTTTTCTTTTTTTAAATTTAAAGCTTTAATTATTTTTTTCTTCCTTTTTTATAATTTTATTTATTGAACAACCATGAGAGCAGTTACAAAGCTTTCGGGTTTAAGTCTCTGTCATACAATGAAACACCTGTCCCTTCACCAGTGCCCATTTTCCACCACCAAAAACCCCAGTATACCTCCATTCCCACACCTTCCCCCTACTTGTGGAGCAGATAATTTCCACATTACTCTCTCTCTACTTTGATTACATTCAATATTTCAGCACCAGGCCCACCATTATTATTTGGGATTTTACCCCAACACAGATCTGCTGAAAAGTCAACGGTAGATTTGTTTCCTGTTACTGGTCATGAATAACATATGATGTTGTGTGGTAGCAGTAGTGGCCACGCAATTTTGGAATTCCAAAATTTTAACAATTAAATCTAGAGGGATTTCTGCCAAAACCTGCTGGGTTCCGAGATTTGTTCCTGAGTCTCTGGGATCATGGCCATTAAGCAGCTTGATCAGGAGACAGAGAGACCGTTTGTGGGCGGCAACTCAGGGTCTCATTGTGGCGGAGAGTATGGGGCCAGCTCCACCCCCATCCCATGAGGCCCGCGTGTCTCTTCACTGCAGGCCCAAACCTGACTGTCCAATGGCCTCTGCAGAATGGCGGCCACCGAGCCACCAGGGGGAACAGGCCAAGGCATGAAACCTATTCCCCCCCCGAGGTGGCCCAGCAGCAGTAACCTACTGTGGGGTCCAGACGCATACCTGCCAAAAGCCGCTGGGTTTCGAGATTTGTTTCTTGTCTGTGGGGTCATGGCCGGTAAGCAGCCTGATCAGGAGCCAGAGAGCGTGGCAACTCAGGGTCTTGTTGGGGTGGGGAGAAAAGGGCTGGCTCCACCCCGATCCCTTGAGGTGTCCCGTGTCTCGTCACTGCAAGCCCAAACCTGACTGTCCAATGGCCTCTGTGGATGGCAGTCATTGAGCTGCCAGGGAAAACAGGCCAAGGCAGGAAACAAATGTTTTTTGTATTTTGGGAATACATGCCAAGAAGTGATATTGCTGAATCATATGGGTGTTCTGTTCTTATTTTTGAAGAACTTTCCGTATTGCTTTTATTTTTCTCCATATGGAAACACAGGGGTTGAACCAGACAATATTCCCATGAGAACAATGGATAAGGGTTCTCTTATCATCATAACCCTGTCAACATTATTTCCAGACTTTTTGATATGTGCTGTTCTTACAGGCATGAGACAACATCTACACAGTTGAGTTGGGTGAAGGGGGCAGGGTGAGAGAGGGAAGTTGGACTTCTTGGAAGAAGGATATGAATACACTGGTGATGGGTGTGGTGAGGGAATTAATGTGTATGAAAAAACCATTATTAATAGTATTGTAAACTTTAGAATATTAATTAAAAAATTTAAAACTTTGCTGTTGCTGTCATTGTTCAGGGGGTGTGTCACCAGCCCACAGTGACCTGAGGGTTCCCTGGTATGTTCAGGGCTGTTCACCGTTCCCTGGCCGGCTGACCTTGGACAAAGGAACGAGGGCCACTGGTTGGTAATCAGTGGCTATTTTTCAAGTCTCACAGCATTAGTTTTAGAAAAATCTTGAAGGGTTGGCGTAGCAATTACACATAAGTGTCGTTGAACGTTATTATAAAAAATGAACAGATGTAAAGCCCTTCCTTCAGGGGAAGTTCTAGGAGATTCACCGAAGGACAAAATATAATCTAAGGGGCTCCAGCAGTCTAGATCCCTACTAGGAGATCTGCCCAAGGGCGTATTGCTTTCCCCTTTCCTTAGCTAGTAATCCATTTAAATAATCATCTTAAATTTACTTCTTAATAATATTTCTAGTCATGTTGTATGGACACAATAAGAGCTATGTTAAGCTTAAAGGGTGGCTCTTCCTGGGGACATCTAGCCATATATCCCAGACTGTAGTTCTCAGTCCAGGTTAGTCTTTCTAACCTCAGCAGGGTTCTTATTCAGTCACTTCTTTTTTTCGGGGATCCTGTCAGTTTGTTCCGTGAATGTACTCTTAACTTATTATGCCAAGTGCCTAGAGGTCTCTGTAGAACCTCCAAATGTTAAGTGGTCACAAGCCTGAGCTCAGCCACCAGCTGAGACACACAGAGACAGGACAGATATTTGAAAGTTTTATTCACACACCAAACACACACCAAAGAAGGAACTCAGAGCTGAGGACACTTATACAAGGGACTCAGCACTGAGGATTCGCAAATTGGGACTGTTCATTGGGCTTGGAATTCCAAGCACTAGAGACTCAGCTCTGAGCGTTCTCCAGCCTCAGAGACCTGAAACTCTGAGCGCCCTCAGGGAGAGGTTTTTAAGCCCTATGCCCTCCTACCTGCTTGTCTGGGTGCCCCTGCCAGGTGCATTCTGCCAGCCTTGAGAAAGATGCGGAGATATAGAAGCAAAACAGAGCAGTTAACATAACTTGCTACATTTACTTGAATCACCCTTGTTATCTGGGGTCAGATGCCATGCCCTTGGGTCTGGCATGCTTTTCTTACTGGGTTGTAAACTCATGATCCCAAGGTACAAAATGGAGTCTGGCTTTCCAAAATGGAGTTGCTGTGTTCCTGTTTCTTTCAATTGTTCTTCTTATGGCACTTAGCCTGTCCCTTTTTGATGCCAGGATAGCTTATGGCTTGCCCTGGAACCATTTTTGTTCCTCACTGCCCCCCTCCCCTTGGGGATGCTAGGAAATAAGGGAAACCGAGGCTTGAGTCAAGTAAATACAACTGTTGCCCAGGAGAAAATATTACTCTGAATCAATTAACTCTCAAGTTACAAAAGCATAGCATTAACTGTCTTCCTGTGTCTATACAAAAGGACACTGCTTTAAAATAAACTATGCAGAGGACATAACAGAAAGAGAAGAGCAGTATTTCACTTAGAAAATCCAGAGCCCTTAAGAAGAATTTGATTTTCAAGTTACAGGGTCTGATTTGGGGATATAAATGATTAACAGATAGGGACAGAAGAACACAAAGGAGAGGTTAAAGATAAACACAGAGGATTAGGAGTGCGTCATGGAATTGGGTGTGCCTCAGGAGCACTATGATGGGTGGAACTCAGTAAACCTATGCTCCCCATGGGTTTGTCTTCTGTAAGGACATTTCTAAAATGTTTAGAAATGTTTCCATTTCTTATAATTCGATGGAACTAGAGGGTACCATATTAGGCAAAATATATCAGAGGGAGAAGGACAAATACTGAATAATTGCTCTCATGTATGATATAAAAAGAAGTAAAACAAGGAAATAGTATTAAATCACAGCACTCTTTCTTTACCTTGGCGGCCTATGAAGAGATAGGTGGAGTAACCTAAGCAATTTGGTGGAGGGTCTTGAATAATTTGGGTAGTGATAAGGGGTAGTATCAGTGGTAACTATACTTTAAGACCATAAACATTGATACTATTATAAATGTTGTTACCTAAGCTATAGTAATTTTAAAGAGACATCTTTTGAAAGATTGTTATCTTGAATATATGCAAATTCTTAAATTTCTGCAACATGGAAACAATCTAAGTGAAAAATTAGACAAATA